AATAACAAGAGATTGGAAGTCACCAAAAAAAACAACATAAATAACACTCGAAATGCACCTTTATGCCTCGGTGATAAAGCCAACGAATTCAGTATTTTACCATAAATACACAGTAGGCGCATTTTTCACGTAAATTCGTAAAAGGGCCAGAGATTAAGGGGCCAACGTTCACCATGAATTTTTGTTTTGTTTGTAACTTGTGACGCAGAAATCTGGCAACTGCGTGCCAACTTGTAACGTACACATCAAGCTATACAAAACCAGTATAAACTAACCGTCGCATGTACAGAAAGATGATACAAAGCGAGATCATGATAGACTGGTTTTTATAGGTCGATGTGTGGACAAACTTTACAAAGTTTTCGCCTTCTGAAGCGAACAGTTTTTAAGTAATTTATTCAAATTCATTCTTAAGGAAATATTGTGGTACTTAGTGAACTTTTCACTTTGTTTGTTTTTTTATAACTTCACTCGGAAGTTCTATTTAAGGTTCGTGTATTCTCTTATTATGATGAGAGCGCATTTGAGTAGTGCAAAGAGTTTACGTACTACGGAAAAAAAAATCTTTATGTCGGTTCGAGGAGTTGTCACTATTGTGTTGCCGAGCAAGGGGTCTCGCTCGGGTTTAATTCCCCGTATCCAGTAAATATACCTATATGAGAGTGTTTCCAGTCTCCCAAAAATAACAACACACATAACATAACATAACATCACGCCTTTTATCCCCGAAGGGGTAGGCAGAGGTGCACATTATACCACTGTACAATGTAACACCCACTTTTCACTATTTATGTTATGAGTCCCATGTAATAGGGGGTGAGCCTATTGCCATATACCGGGCACAATTCCAGACTCCGTGCTACTACTGAGATTTTTTTTTAAAACCCAGTAATACTTTGCCCGACCCGGGAATCGAACCCGAGACCCCTTGCCCGGCAGTCGCACTTTCGACCACTCGGACAACGAGGCAGTCTCCCAAAAATATTTCTGTAATAACATGGAGTCCGGAATGGCCCCCGGTGTATGGCAATATGGCAATACATGCACCCTCTATTACATGAGACTTAAAACAAAACTATTGAAAAGTATGAAATGTCTCTGTTTGTCTCTTCAGGGATTTAAACGACATCAGTCCACAGTTTAATTTTAATACAGGTTTAATTTTGAAGTTAAATTAAGAATAATTGCACTAGCAATCCTCAAAGGTGTCGCGGAGAACCTAACGGGTAACCGGGGCTCCGGCTCGACGTGCAGGAGAAGGAACGGGGTGGTTTTTAGTCAGTAAGAGTCTGACACTCCCTCTGTCCTCACCCTGGCGGGAGAAGTCATTCGATGATTTCCACCCCTCAAAAAACCTGATTTTCATCACAAAATCATGTCGGCATTGCTGCAAGGACTGTGTACACAAAGCACACTACCTATACATATAAATACATACAACGTCACTCATCAATTAACGCTCAATCCACACCCCGCAATATAAATCAGATGGACCGCTTATTAAATACACAACCGGACCGGTTGTCCGAACGACCGGACCGTCCGGTAGCCGGACAAGTAATTAATTAAACAAACGGTGCTGTGATAGCTCTGATGTTAATTATTCTTGGAATCGATTCAATTGTTTGTTTGTTATTGGATTTTTAAGGACGGTGCTGACCCTTCTGGTACCTAAGAAGAGCAAATTATTATATTAGTTAAGGAATCCATCATCATGAACAGCCGAAAGACGTCCACTGCTAGACAAAGGGGACATAAAAAAAGGACTAAGGGGGAGGCCCCTTAGTCCTTTTTTTATGGCATAAGCCGGTAAACGAACAGACGGATAACCTGATGGTAAGCCATCGGCGCCGCCCATGGACACCTGAAACACATGAGGCGTCACAAGTGCATTACTAGCCTTTTGGGAATTGGGAATTTGAGGATTCTGGGGGATTCGAGGATTGTGGAGACTAGGAAGAGGTAATTGGGCCTCTGGTAACCTCACTCACACCACGGCAAAACAAAACGCAAGCGTTGTTTCTCGTCGGTTCCTCGTACCAAGTGCTCCACGTCAAACGTCAACTCGCCACCTGCATCCACTGGCTCCCCGCATCACTTTTAGTTAAGGAAATATATTGACAATTTTCGTATGAGAAAATAAAAAACAATCAGCCGAACATTGTACCTCCTCCTTTTTTTGAAGTCGGGAAAATTATGGAGTTAGAAAAATTGATAAAGATGGTGATCGAGCACATTGAGAGATCAAAAACATGGAACTGGTGAAAATCGAAATATCAAAAATTTTTAATGATCTCTATCAGCAGTTTATTTGGGTTCAAGATTATCATACTACTCCTGTTGCTCGGTTTCTGTTAAATATGTTACTTTTTAATAGTCTTTTACTATACCCATGGGAACAGCATGGTTTTTTAAGGGAGGAAGATCATCCAATGACTTCTCCCGCCTGGGTGAGGTGGGAGGGAGTGGCAGACTCTTACTGATTAAAAACCACCCCGTTCCTTCTCCTGCACGTCAAGCCGGAGCCCCGGTAACCTGTTACGTTCTCCGTGGCCCCGTATCGGCTATTAGCCCATTTTGGCCTCATGGCGACAAATGTGTTTCAAATTGCACCATATGGCAAATTCCATTATAAGCTATGTCAAAAACAGACTACCCCATCATAATAATTATTTACCTTATTTTGCACTTCCCTAAATTGGTACTATGTACCAGGGAACCATAACATCAATAGAGAATAACGAGTTTCTTGTGTAGACATATAAACACGTTACCCGCGCTCTTTCAATGGGGGTAATTTTGTCAATAAAATTATGTTATTAGACGCCCATAGAACGAAGCGGTATTATTGCCATCTTACTAGACTTTTTTATTAAGACATTACTCTGCAGCCTAATTTGAAAATTTTGAGGGAAATAAAATCGACTTTCCTTTTCCTTGACTTTTGAATATTTTGACGATAAATCGTTATTGTATTGCAATTTGGTATTAGAGAATTAGGTATAACCAGCAAAAGCTATATATATAACCTGATCTGAAATTATTTTCCCAACCCAATAGTTGCGCGATATAAGGGACTACATTAAAAACCGTAAAATTCAGTATAAAAATATCAACTGTCTCAATACTAAATCAACCGTATTTACTTACATGCATAACTCCATGTAGAAGTATGGTGAGATATGTTCAGTTGCTATGGTGACCCAGTTTAGCCTTTGAGAACGAGACGAATGAATAATAGACCCGAGCAAAGAGACTAGCGAACAAAAATGGCTGCAAAAATGCATTTTTTTTTCCAAAGTTATGTGTGTGAAGTTGTTGATGACTTTTTGTAAAATTTTAATAGAGTGTAGAAACGCGATGTTTGTAGGCTTTGTTATATCATCATCATCAACACCATATAAATGTCCACTGCTAAACAAAGCCTCTTCTCACATGGAAAAGGTTTGAGCATTAATCACCACGCTTCCTCAATGCGGGTTGGCGATTGCCTACAAACTTATAGTTAGATATTATAAGCCCAGGTTTCCTCACGATGTTTACCTTCACCGTTTGTCAGTGGTGTCTAGATAATCTTAGAAAGTACATAAAACTCGGAAAATGTCACATTGGTATTTGTCGTTGGTAGGTTTCGAACCCGCGCTTTGTTATATGACTACTTTTATATATTTACATTGTAGAACATACTTTTTACATTGAAGAGCATACTTTTTAAAAAAGAGTAACGAATGGAGATTCTTGCTCGCTCTTCTCCATTCGAATCTACATTTTGGAATGAGCACCTAGCTTCACCTAGCTTCACTGACGGACTGACTGACAGACTATGACGGACTGACTGACAGACTATTATTTATTTTGTATTTGTTGACGTTTCAAAAGTAACAAAATAAGGTTTAGTTGAAATAAATGCTTTGACTTTGACTTTTTATTGTACACCATAAAAACATAAAGAAAAAATATCAACATAAATTGTGTGCAATGGGCTTTCTTATCGTAGAATGCGATTTCTTACAGACAACTTTTCACTGATTTATAATCCTGTAGTTATTAACACAGACAACAGCAATTTAAACTATTCCCTTTATCAAACTTCTTTAATAGAAATTCAACCTTACTTAAATGTGGGAGAGCCATGCTTCGGCACGAATGGGCCGGCTCGACCGGAGTGATACCACGGCCTCACAGAAAACCGACGTGAAGCAACGTAAAGCTTGCGTTGTGTTTCGTCGTGTGAGTGAGGTTACCGGAGGCCTAATTACCCTCCCCTTCCCCAATCTCCCCAATCCCTGAATCCCCAACGATCATCAAACTACTAATCCCCAAAAGGCCGGTAAAGCACTTGTAACACCTCTGGTGTTCCAGGTGTCCATGAGCGACTGCTTACTTGTGATCCGTCTGCTCGTTGACCGGCTTATGCCATAAAAAAAAGTTAAAATTAATTTGAAGAATTTAAGGGTAGCTTGTCAGGTTGTATACTTCTTTTGAACATAAACTTGACTTAAATAAGGATCAAGTTAGGATGTACGATTTACTTTCATGTATGTTGTAGTTTAAGGGTAAAGGTTCAAAGGATGAAGAGAATGATTGAAGGGATTTCGAATTTGAAGTATTTCGAAGCTGAGAATATACAAATGGATGTTTCTTTGTTGTTTAAATTCATCATAATAATGTTTAAACGGCAATATAATATTGTTTAATGTATAAAGGTATTATTCACTACCTACACCTAAACCATCTATTAACTAAAAGTTACATAGCTTGACTTAGCACTTAAAGTAATCCCTTACTTTTACTGTTAGGTGTCATTTATAGGTTGGTGAAAACCAACATATCTTTAAATGTCATCTATATTAGCTTAAGGGTCCCTTAAAATTCAGGAGAGGTTTGTGAAACCGACCGTAAGTCTCAGTTTAGAACTAAAAATAAACCACATCTTCAGAAGTCATTTCGTTTACTCGTCTTTTTTCAATTTTACCAGATGTTTTCATACGACTAACAAATTAGTATCTATGATTGGCAGCGTAGTTGGACTTGGTGGCAGCTGATGATGCAGCACCTCCTTGATACTTTCCTTGGCAGGCTAGCCCATTCGCCTGAAATGAATGGATATTAGAACATTTAACAATAACTTACAAATCCTAAACTTCTTGTATTTTTGTTTTTATAATAACTATCGTGAGACATACTAAATTAAGTAAAATCGCAGGTTACTCACGTGAATATACTGAGAAAAGCGAAAAAGAATATACCTCATGAATGAGCGGTCGCGGCGACCGCGCACGCTTCTCATGAGGAAGAACCCCTCTGTGATTCGAAACTAGTAGAGCTTTTCTCAGTATATTCACGTGAGTAATCCGCGATTTTACTTAATTAGTATTTTTATTTTTATTTATTTTTTTATAAAAAAACATTGCCCGGCACTAGGATTTTCTCCTGTATCGTGGGTGCGTTTACAAACATACAAGTTCACATTCACATGACACCCAGACCCGGAACAACAATCTGTAGATCACACAAATAGTTGTTCCATGCGGGAATTGAGCCGGCTAAACGTTACGCGGCAGCCAGTTGCCCAACCACCATGCTAACCGTACTGGCGATTAAACAGTTATTACGTATTCTAGAAACGTTTCTTTCTCATTAAATAATTAGGAACTTTTATACCACTCAACTTAAACAAGGCTATTCTAATTTATTCTCTTTGTCATAATGTTCCAAATCTATCTATCCGATACTGGCATACAATATAATAAGGCCTACCTCCTACCTATATAACATTAAATATTTTACCTTTGTCCTCTTCAATAGTTCAGCTTGAGCAGCCTTAGTGTTCTCATCCTTCCCTGCCCACGTCTTCCAGACAGAAGCCTGCAGTGCCCTGCCGTAACTGAAGGTGAGGGCCCAAGGATTCTTCAAGTTCACCTGGTTGATAGCATTCAGGTAAACTGTCGCTTCTTCTTCTGTCAGACCACCGGAGAGAAAAGCGATTCCTGGAGAGTATAAGAATAAGCATGTTATGAAATAACTTCGGGGTTTTTATATATTAATTGTCTACATATGTATAAACTGATTATGGTATTTATTATGCAACAAGATAAAATTTATTTTTATTGGATAATTTAATGGCCGGTAAACGAGCAGACAGCAGGTATTCAACCAAATATCTACTCAAGACTCAATCTAAATAAAGTCGAAAAGACCAGGATGACAGAATAAGAAGGAGTACATTCATACCGGGAACGGCAGCCGGTACAGTCCTGCGTAAAGCTGTGACTGTAGCCACAGCTATCTCTTGAGGAGTATTCTTCTTCGAACAACCGTGGCCTGGTGTTACCTGTAATGAAATAAAAAAATATTTGAACAGCTACATATTATAAGAAGTTTAAATAAATTTATTGTTTCTTTTATTTAAACTAACTAAAACTTTTACAGCGATTACGAAATCATAATTTTGTAAGAAGGCGGATATGAATTACGTCGGTAGAGGGCGCCCTAGACGTTTATATACTATTAAAATGGGCGATATATTAAAGAAGGACCAAAAATAAAACCACCATTAACCAACGAGCATGCATGAAAAGACTGATGACTGTTGATGAAGCGAAAGAGGTATGTAAGAATCGTAGCAATTGGCGTTCCATAGTCTCTGTCTACCCACATGGGAGACAGGCGTGAAGTTATGTATGTATATTTTGTACAATCAAACTTCAGCAAAATATACTAGGTATTTTGTTCTCATAAATAATGGAAAAACCATAAAACGTTCAAATATATCTTCAATCTGTAGAATGTAAAGTGCTATTTATGCGAGATCACGTTCGACGTGAATAAAGAGGAGCAGAGATCCTCAGGAAGGGTGTAAATAGGACAAAGAAGGGTGCTATGTGAATACACACGTCGAGCTATGCAAAACCAGTATAAACTAACCGTTGAATGCGCTGAAAGATCATACAGAAAGAGATCATGTAAAAACTGGTTTTGCTTAACTGAGTGTGTTATCGTGAGGACTCTTCCAGCTATACAAACCAGTTTACCTTGATCTCGCGTTGAATGTCCAATCCACATATTGAAAGATCAGTTTATATTGGTTTTTTATAGCTTGATGTGCAGCCGTGTGTTCTTCAATATGTCTTCAAATCCCTGTACTAAGACCCAAAGTATTTCGCTTTGAAATCGCACATAAGCTTCTGTCGCGCGTGCTAATCACATAATACATTGCGCTAAATTAGAATGTTTGGTTCACAGATGTTTGCAGTATACGTTGAAAATGGTAATTTTAAGTGAGGTGAGAATGTGTTTTTGTCGTGTTTATTTCTGTTTTAGGGTTTTTTAAGGTATAAGCCGGTAAACGAGCAGAATCGACGTGAAACAACGCAAGCGTTGTTTCACGCCGATTTTCTGTGAGGCCGTGGTATCACTCCGGTCGAGCCGGCGCATTCGGCCCAAACATGGCTCTCCTAAACAGGGTTGATTATTCTGGATAATTGAATCTAATAATAGTTTTTATCATAGAAATATTAACATCTACCTATCGTAGGATAGTCATATATTATTATCATCACAAATATATGTATTTACAATAATTAGGACGACCATGCATTAAGTGTACTAGGACATCAGCGATCTGTAAGAAGTAAAACTTACCATATTAGGCTTCAACAAAGTTCCCTCCAGGAAGACGTGGTGGTCATTCAACGCTTTGTACACTGCTGCAAGCGCTGTTTCTGTCACCTTCTGATTTCTTAGGATGTCATGATCGCCTGGTACCAAAAGTTGACACTAATTCCTTTATATTCGCTAATTAAGAAGTTATTTTAAATTCAACTCAACTCGCTAATATTATGGCAACGTTTATAGGGATTTTCTACTAAAAATCCTGGAAATCTTATGAAAATGTCCAATACTGGCAATATACATCCCTCATCTCTTCATAAGGGCTTGTACACAAAACTGCGATGCGACGTCGCATCGCAAAAATGTGCGAGCTCGATCAATCGCATCGCAAGAACTTGCGAATTGTATCGCGCAGCGCATCAAAATTTTAGTTATCTTCCCATCTTTGCTTCTTTTTCCTGTATCTGCTAAGCAATAACAAAAGTGCACACTTCTTTTTACGATCCATGTCACGACTTAGTTTTCAATTTAAAATACGTTTAGTACAGTTGACGGTCGTCGAAGGAATTATGTCGTCTTGTCACACGAAATCGCATCGCAATTTTCTGCGTTCCGAATTCGCATCGCATCGCAGTTTTGTGTACGAGCCCTAAAACAACGGATAACTTACATTATAGCTTACTCCTTTAAAATAGAAACGCAAAAATATGACATGACTAAATTGACTTATTTATGCTTGTAGGTATTTGCACCTCAATCTTAGTTTACATAACCAATTACTAATGAATGTTTATTTAGTACCTACATAAGCACCTAAATACACATACATAATATGCCGCGCCATTTACTTAATACATAATTAATTAATATTGTTCCAAAACAAGCAAGCACTTAGGGTTAATTGTCAAAGTTAATTGTTATGCAACCGTTCAGTCATTAACTTGATTGTTAATGTACCGGATTAAATTAAATGTTTGAAGGTATATTATGGAACATTTGGTTTGGACATTAAATAGGTAGGTAGTAATAATTTTCCAACAAAACGCAGGCAAATATGTTTGAAAATCAAAATTCGGCTTGGCTTATATCTAAATCTAAGTTAGGCAAAAGGAATACGTAGTTGCTTCCATATTGAACCTTTTTTTTTAAATAGTTTTGTTATTGTTCACGTAGTCATTCAAATACATTTCCTTTTTTATAGACGATATTAATTATTACAAAAATTTTACACAAAGTACTCTGTGTACATGACATATCCAACCTTACAGCTCCTTGTGTTATCCAAAAATGGTTGTTTCCGATCTGAGTGTAATGTATATGTGAATTTGTATATTCGTAAACGCACCCACGACACAGAAGAAAATCATAAAGTGGGGCAACGTTTTTTAATAAAAAAAATGCTCTATGAATAAGGTAACTCGGCATTTTACATGGTGTGTAGCAATATTTATTCTTCTATTCAAATTCACGTCACTAAATAATTATTTGTACCCGACTGTAGGAAGGGTATTGTGCACTAGTACTACCCTCGCCAACATATAAAACATTTATTTATTTATTTATACAGAAGCTTCACTCACCATCCAAAAGCACGTCAGGTTCCACTATCGGCACCAGACCCTGGCTCTGGCAGACTGCAGCATACCTTGCCAACACCTGAGCAGTGTCATTGATAGCCTGGACTGATGGAATGTTCTCCCCAATCCGAAGCGGACACCGCCATTTTGCAAACCTGCAACCTTGCTTCTTGTATTCTGCGCATCGACTTGCTAAGTTGTCGAGACCTGTAAAATAAGAAGATAGCGTGTTTAGAAACATATATAAAATATAATAAAATATTCTAGTGGTTGAAGTCATGCCTTTGACATAACAGAGATGATCAGATGACTATCAGACTTGCGCGAGTCATGAGCAATACTCAAATAATACATTGATTTCTCTGAGGTAATCTTCACACAGACCGTTGATGTCAACGGCCTAAAAGTCGTCACTGTTGACCAAAGGCCTCTACTTACACGGGGAAATTTTGAGCATTAATCACCACGATTGCTCGATTGCACGATTAATTATAAAATCTAGGTTTCCTCACGATGTTTTCCTTCACTATTTGTTAGTGATGTCTAAATAAGCTTAGATAATCTTCAAATTGTAGTTTTTACAAAACTTTGGAAAAAGGTTTACCTTGAGTCGTAACCTCATCTTGCGACAGAAACAGAGGAACTGCATCCAGGTCCAATTTGATGCCTGGAATGATGTTGTTCTTCTTCAACAGGTCTATGAATGGAGTGCCACCGTCAGTTTTCTGGTAGACTGTTTCGTCGAAAAGGATGGTCGCTGATACATGTTCCGAGAGGTTCTGTAATATTAGTGATAGATAGTTTGAACTAGATAGTTTGAGCCGCCCATAGACACCTGAAACACCAGAGGCGTTACAAGTGCGTTATAGGCCTTTTGGGGATTGGGAATTTGAGGATTGAGGGATTTTGGGGATTCGGGAGACTCAGGAAGGGGGTAATTGTGCCTCCGATAACCTCACTCACACACACGACAAAATGTTTTACGTCGCGTCGGTTTTCTGTGAGGCTGTGGTATCACTCCGGTCGAGCCGGCTCATTCGTGCCGAAGCATGGCTCTCCCACACTTATTCGTCTGGGTTTCGAGCATTCTAAGTAGGACCATTAATGATCGGGCCTGTACCTAAGTACTTACAATTAGGACATTTCTGCAAAACAAAACTTAATTTAATGTTGACCAAAAAACAACTTCACAGTTAGATTAATCATCTTAACACCAGTGGGACGTGGGACCCACTAAAAATTTTCAAAAGATATCAAACCTTGTTTCTAAAGAATACAAGCGTTTTTTCTTTCATGTGAAGCCTGTAAAACATTCATCACTAAAATGTACGACCGTCCCTTGTGGAGACATCGAGTAAAACAAAAACAAAAAAACAACGCTTGTTTGTCCCTTATGACACACAATACGAAGAAAGTTATAATAGGAACCAAAAAGTCAAGCGGAATATGTATTTTTTTATGTTGGACCAAGTTATTTGATACGAGGGCTCGGTATACTATCCGTAAATCCATAGGAAATTAATAGACACGCTACTGCAATGGGGATGATGACAGGGTATGAAAATTAAAAATATAATTAGTCCGTAAGTTAGGTAATGAAAAAATATTAGACACGTATTTTTTTATTTTGTCGTATAATAAAACAATACTTAGATAAAACGAATCAAAGTTTAGGAGTGGGGGCTAAAACGTCATTCCTTAGTATAAAATGTACTGAGAAGTGACGTCACGCGACATTTCAAATCAATATATCTTCGAAACTATTCGTTTCTGTGAGAAAATAAAAAATACGTGTCTAATGTTTTTAAATAATCTATCAGACGGACATTAAAATAAAAATTAGTCGTCTACCCTAATAGGTTCGAATGTATTAAAGATCATTAAAAAGTGCCTAAATGAAATAAATAGGCATATAAGCTACAAAACGAAAAATGAGTACCCATTTTTTTACTGGGACAAGCCCGTCACAACCTCCAAATACCGCTGCAACTCCTGTAAGCCAGGATCTACAGTAGATATAACCATGAATACACCGGAACACTGAAGTTCGGCGCGTCCCAGGGACATGAATAACTGTCTTGATCATTGGAAATGAATCAGAAGATATTATAAGAAGAGACGAAATAAACGATAGTTTTCACAAAATTGAGTTCCTACCTAATACTTGATAATACAGTAATCGTATCAAAAAAGTAAGACTGTTTGCTATGTACATCTCAGAGTGATTGATTATTGTAGATAATTTTATTCGACAGTAAACAGATGCTGTTTTTTGCTAACGTTGTTTACAACTAGCTTCTGCCAGTGACGTTCTTTTAAGGGGGTAAATCATCAAATGGCTTCTCCCGCCTATAGTATCAGACTCCAACTGACTAAAAACCACCCCGTTCCTACTCCTGCACTTCGACTCGGAGCCCCGGTAACCAGTTACGTTCTCCGCGGCTCCGGCATCAGCCCTTTTGGGCCCCATCTATGGTGGTCTGATGGCTCTTTGAGGCACGCACGGAACGCGACGCGCTGTACGCTCGGGTCTGGTTCTGGTTGGTGGCTACTGGTCTGCCAGTGGCTACGACCACTTTCCCGTAGGATAAAAAGTAGCCTATATGTCATTCCAGACCATTATCTACCGCTGTTCCAAATTTGATCCGGATCCCTTCAGCCATTTCGGCGTGAAGGAGTAAGAAAGTCAAAGTCAACGCATTTATTTCAATAAAACCAAGACGTGGTACTTTTGAAACGTCAACAAATCCTTACTAATATTATAAATCGGAAAGTGAGTTTGTTTGTTTGTTCCGATTTCACGCCGTAACTACTTTTTATCCCGGAAAAATTTGATATTCCCCAAGGAAAACTAAAGTATTGGTATAGATAGCGCTGTATGTATTGGTATATGTCACATGGGCTACTTTTTATCCTTTTGTGACGCGAGCGAAGCCGCGGGTAAAAGCTTGTACAAGATAAATAATAGTCTGTCCGTCTGTCCGTCAGTGAAGCTAGATGCTCGTTCCAAAATGTAGATTCGAATTGAGAGAGAAGAACGCGGAAGGAATACCATTTGTTACTCTTTTAAAAAAATGTTTTACAACAATCTCTCTGATATAATTATACAATACGTACAAACTTACAACATACATACATACAAACAAACTTTCGTATTTATAATATTATCAGGGAGTAGGATAATCAATAATATTTCAATATTGTTGTCAATTTTTATCCTTATCAGGGAAAGTAATAGATACGAAAGCCATGTAAAGTAGGTAATTTGCCCTTACTTCAGTAGTAAAAAGCAGCTGGCGGTATCTCCTCCTGTTGTTCTCCGTGTTCTGCAAGCCAACAGCTGCTAATAATTTACCGATGCCCTCTGCAAAAAACCATAAACAGTATTATAATCTACTTGTTACAAAAAAAAACATAATTTGGACGCCGGTTATAATACAATTATTATAACCAAATCGTCTAATTATGTTTTTGAAAATTTATAGAAAAATATGCAGTGTGTTAATTGTAACACACTGCATATTTTAATTGTAACACACTGCATATTTTAATTGTAACACACTGCATATTTTAAAGAACTTATCTTTGTCTACTTCATTTAGCTGTGTACCGCTCGTCCCGTGTTATAGTCAGGCAATGCTGCGCACGACTATGAGTCCCTGGCGTAGCATGAAACTGGTCGAGTGACTAGTAGGTTACTACGCCATGTTATGCTACGCCAGTTCCATGAGGTACTCCTCATCGAATAATTAAGTAAACCATAGTTTTTTAATTATGTATCAGACAGTTATTGTACCAAAAAGCTCCTATATGAGTGTATACTTACCATTGGTTTCATCAACAGCTAAGATGCCCTTGCCTGGAGCTACTATAGCTTCCGCTGTGCTTCTTAACTCCTGCTGTAGGGCAGGCTCCGGATATGAAAAGTATGTAGTCATCCTGAAATAACATAACATCACGTCTTTTATCCCTGAAGGGGTAGGCAGAGGTGCACATTACGGCACTTAATTCCACTGTACAATGTAACACCCACTTTTCACTATTTATGTTATCAGTCCCATATAATAAGTGGTGAGCCTATTGCTCTACCTATATACCGGGCACAATTCCAAACTCCGTGCTACTATTGAGATTTTTTTAAAACCCTGTAATATTTTGCCCGACCCGGGAATCGAACCCGAGGCCCCTTGACCGGCTGTCGCACTTTGCGGCCACTCAGCCAACGAGGCAGTCATCCTGAAATAATAAATTAGAATTCATAGTACCATACGTAACTTGGAAGCAATTGCGTTGCATGACCATTGAAGTACCAGGGTACCATGTATATGAAAGAGGTTGTAATGAATTTATAATATAGGTATTTGAAATAATTTACCAATAAGTTTCAAATACGTACCTAAAACAATTTAATTTGGTCGAAAAAGTAGAAATTTTCTGTTAAACCAATTTCGATGTAGGTAGGTAATATAAAAACATTGTAGGCACTGTTAATATTTACTCAACGAACTTTTTGTTTGTTTTATAATTCCAGGGATTAGCTGATAGACAGTTTCCAATTAAATTTCGCGAAAAGTTTCGCTAGTCGGTCTGCGTCGTGCGGAAAAACTTTTCAGCCGCGCGCCAAAAACGTAAAAATGTATACGAATCCGTTCCGAGCGAATTTTCCGTTTATTTAAAAGTTTTCCGTGAAAAAAACTGAGTGTAGGTAGCAATGTTTTAACTTTTAATTCATTTTCATATTGTTTACAGCTTCAGTTTAACAAACCAATAATGAATCACCTGAATATTACAGTCGGGTTCCGAAATTAATTAGCGGTTGTCAACAAAATAGAGTTCAATTTTAATATTACGGTTATTGGTTATGAACAGTCGTATTAATTACCTTATTGATTTATTTCGGTGAATATTTTATCAGAAAATATTATCCTACTAATAATATAAATGTAAAAGTTCGTTTGTTTGTTTGGGATTTCTTTACGGCAAAACAGCTGAAGAGATCGGAATGAAATTTCTAACAGGGTTAGATTATGGCCAAAATGAAACATGGGCTTTTATCCATAAAAAACGCGGGCGGAACCGTTGACAGAACCTAGTTAAGAGAATAAAGTTTGTAAAACCAGTAACGATTTTTTTTAAATTATCACTAAATCAATGACAAATCGATAATCGAACGGTTACGATTTCAGCCATTGTTGAGTTTGTATCACAAACAGCCAGTGACAGTCCACTGCTGTATTATGGGTCTCCTCAAATATAGAAAGTCTTTCCGTAATCTCCACACTTCACAATTGGTGGATTTAAAGATTGCTGTATCAAGGTTCTGGTTAATCATAGAGCATATATACATAGCCTCACGCCTGGAATGGACCCCCATGGGAGACATCCCCAGGGATTAAAATCAATCATGGACCATTGCTGTCCTATCCAAAACCCACTGTCGGGCGATTCTGTTTATTTTATTAAGATTACTGTCGTTTATTCTGAAATACTGTCGAACTTAAACGATTTATTATAGCCGTATTTTTAACTATTGGCCCTATTACATTGAACTTTTATGATTTGTGTGACATGCCCCCCAGAAGTGTCACGGTTTCAAAACACACCGACACTCACGACTTAGGACTCCATCAAGAAGTATCGGAGAGGTAAAAAAATCCATTTACTCTATATTTATTAAGTACTAGCTTTTACCCGCGGCTTCGCTCGCGTCACAAAAGAATAAAAAGTAGCCTATGTGACATATACCAATACACACAGCGCCATCTATACCAATACTTTTGTTTTTCCTCGGGAATATCAACCATTTCCATACCCATTTCCGGGTTAAAAAGTACCCTATTATTTAATCCGGACTTCTAACTTTACGTCTGCAAAAATTCTAAGCAATCGGTTGAGTAGTTACGGCGTGAAGGTGGAACATACAAACAAACTCACTTTCAGATTTATAATATTAAGTAGTAAGGACTAAACGTCGTTTTTTTTTTAAATTTGACAGGCCGACGTTTGACCACTGTCTCGCCTGGTGGTAAGCGATAATGCGGTCTACGATGGAGCACCTCGACCCAAAATTACAATAACTCCCTTTATAAAAATAATTAAAAACTTACCTACTCGACTTATAAGAGCACTTCACTCAAACTGAATATTTACTGTACATGTTTGTAGCTGTAATGATTTAGATAACTCTGTTATCTCATGATACGGGCTGTTGTTTTGTTGCCTATAACATTTTATTACGGGGATTAATTCCATTTCGCTTGGTATTATGTTCATTATATAACGGTGCACTGAATTACCTGTCTGTGGATTGAAATCGATAATGGTTTTAATCATCGGACATGAATGATAAGGATGAATGGAGTACTTCTCCTGTTGTAAGTCCCGATTAACCCTTCAACTGTTTAATGTAGCTTTCCCCAGCGGCTTCGAATGCATACCCGTGGGATATAAAAACATATGTGTTTTTTTTTATTGATAAAATATATTTCTCCTGTCCGTGCCCTTGTCATATTACAGTTACATTGTTATAAAGATGTTAAAATATGTGTTAACATATTTCTATGACGTCTAGACCATAATCTATGTCGCGGAGAACCTAACGGGTTACCGGGACTCCGGCTCGAAGTGTAGGAGAAGGAACGGGGTGGTTTTTAGTCAGTAAGAGTCTGACACTCCCTCCCACCTCACCCAGGCTGGAGCAGTAAATCGATGATTATCACCCCTTAAATAAAAAAAAAGACCATAATCTATCCCTGAACTCGATCCCTTTAGCCATTATGACGTAACAAATATACACACAAACTTGCTCATTTATCATAATAGTAAGAAGTACCGAGTCAACGGAATATTTTCTTTCAACACTTATCTACCGACAATGAGAGACTTAAGGAACGACACTATACAGGTCAGCGACACTCTGATGAACCAAGAATATTTTAACTGCGATATCCAACCCACCTGCTAAACTGCCAACCGAGGAAATGATGGCCAAACCTCAGGTTCGCTTCCTGAGAATGTAACAGTGGAATATTATGGGCTGTTGACAATTTTAGGTTTTGTCAATATTGTTACTCACTTCTTCACGACACTTCACACTGACTACAAAGTCTATTCAAAGAAATAATGAAGAGCAACTAATACTCTGTCAATTGATTCTGATTGAGTCCAATAAAAACGCAATGTTTTATTACCTAACAAGCTGCGAGATTGTATTGAAAAGTCAAAGCATTTAGTTTTTGACTGATTAAACTACACAATATTGGGTGCTTTGCCGGAAACCGAAACTGAGACCCCTTTCTTAGTACTCGCGACTTTACGATCAATTAGGTACCTACATACAGGTGTAGGTAAAGGTTACCTATGACCTTTTATAATGCTTAAACCGGCTTACGCTGCCGGTAAACGAGCAGACGGATCACCTGATGGTACGCAATCGGCGTCGTCCATGGACACCTGGAACACCAGAGAAGTTACAAGTGCGTTATCGGCCTCTGAGTGATTAGGTATTTGAGGAATGTTGGGGATTCAGGGATTGGAGAGATTAGGGTGGGTGATGGTGGTGGTGGCTCCGGTAACCTCACTCACACGACGAAACACAACGCAAGCGTTGTTTCACGTCGGTCTTCTGTGAGGCCGTGGTATGACTCCGGTCGAGCCGGCGCATTCGTGACGAAGCATGGCTGTCGACCACACAAAGAAATATTATTAGTTAATATGTAGACACCTAATTATAAGTAGAACATGATCATGCTGTATAAAGTCATCTCACTCATCTCATACAAACACAGTGGAATTGTAAATATATAAATCGATAACTTTTGACTCTTGACATTGCTCTGATTAGTTCTATTATGTAACGATTTATTGTGTGTTTAGTGTTTTACTGTACCTAGTAGGTAACTTTCAGGTTTTTCATAATATTTCATTGTAAATTTGTAGGTACACACGGCCACACATCAATCTATACAAAACCAGTTTATCCTGGTGTCGCGTCGCATCATCTTTCAGCACATTTAACGTTCAGTTTATACTGGTTATGTAAAGCTCGATGTGTAGCCGTGTGTATCTACATAATAGGTGGGCACCTACCTAACCAGGTACATACCTTCCTTGATAGCTATGATTTGGCTGTAATAGTAAAAATATTTTAGAAAAATAAGATTTAGGTGTTTTGATAACTAAACTTTTTTGTGTACCTATTTAATAAAAAAGATTAAACGAAAAAAAAAGATGCACCATAGAAGTAGGTAATATTTTTGGTGTAAATGTTGTCAATCTCAAACGTCATTATTTCGCTAATTTCTAAATAGTGACGTGGTAGTGTATTTGATTATTAAAAAATATCGATATATATGCGTATTAAAATAAGACAACCCAAGGTATTCCGAACCATATTAATTTTAGAAGAGCGCTATCTACCGTTTTGTGTGCTAACTAAATACTCAACACGATAGCTAAAGTATCTGTGTACAAGTCCTATTTTAACTGAATACGTTGGGTTCGAGTTTCACAAAAGAGCCGTCAGATGGCGCATTACCGGTAGGTAAAACTGCTTCGCTGTTGCGCTATCACTAGACCTTCAAATGACCTTTTGTATGTGTCCTCTCGACGACTTACTATTTGACAGTACTACCAACGTAGCAGTTCGGGAGTGTCTGTTTTTCACCGGATAAATAATTCTATTAAAAAAGTAAGTTTTAAATAATTTATATTTTTTATTCGGTTTAACATTTTAGTTACAATGCTCAATAATGTTTAGAAAGTTATATAATTTACGGGTTGGTTAGTATTTTATTTAAGGTTATAATGTAAAATTCGGCAATTACGTATATGTTTAATTAAAGGTAATATTATTTTAATAAATTGGCGTACCTCCCTTTTTATCTCAAACCTACAAATTTGGAATGAAGCCGTCGAATTTTTATGAAAATCTAGCGTCATATTTATATAGTATTGCTAATTTTCATTTTCCTGCTAATAGTAAAGATGTAATGAACATCATTAGGTGAGCAGTGCAAGCATCATTACCTAAGACGATATTTTAAGGTTAATAGATATAAATTGTCGATTGTAGATACTTTTAGAATTTGACCAAATACTTTACTAGCCAACTAATTTAGGAATCCAAAATTTTTTTTTCAGAGGATATTAAATCGTAAAATTATTTATTTAGTAAGAACGCACCAATATTATTCACTGGAATTTATACTTTTTTGGACTCTCGTATCAAGAAGGTATTTTGTTTTCAATGACCTTTCAAGGTCACCTCTCGGGGGAGCTAATATTGAGCAATGTCAAATGAATTGTAAATAATCTGGACGTTACAAAGTTACACGTTACAATCCTGAATGAAACTATAATGTAATTATATATTTGGACATTATTATAATTGTAATTCTTTATCTGTACATTTTAATTGGTGTGAGCTTTGTAATTCGGTCATTTTTCTAAAAGTTTAATTAAATACTTTATTGCATTTCATAACTGATTATCACAAAAATATTAGAAAATTAATAGATTTAGTAACTAATCGATAACGTCCTCATCACTACGACTAGTTTGCCAAAAAATAAAAAATGTCAATTTTTTGACAGTTTATCATAGCCAACCGTAAAATATCGCTTCGTAATTTAATTTTTCGAAACAAATGAATAAACAGACAGATACGGGTTACTTTGTGATGGTGAGTTTTTGATAGAACATCTTTTATAATGTCGAGTATAATATTTTTAAGTTCAATTTATTTCTAAGTAAATTTTTTATACAAATTTTACAAACAACAAAATGGGTGCTAAAGGTAAAAAAAAGAAGGGAAAGAAGGGACCTCCGGAGTCAGGATGGTGGCCAGGATTCGGAACCAAGGGTAGGCTACCACCATGTTAACATTTTCTTATAAAATTCTTGTGTTTTTTTATATTGGTAGTGTATTTCTTAAGAACTTGCTGACTATAGTACGTAACTAGAGGATATTTTGATTAATTTCCTTAGCCTATATTTTTCACAATATTGCCTCAGACTGACTATTAATTATTAGACTTTGCTAGGCCTAGAATGTGTTAGTTTTTGTCCTGTATTGCATTTATTTACCTTTTTTCTGGTGCCTTATAAGACAGTATAAAATACACCTTATCTTAGTTGACCTAGGGTTGACTACAAAACTTAATAAGAATGTAGGTTTTATCTAATTAAATTTTCTATTTAGAATCTCAATTGCCATTATGACTAAAAACTATATTGTATTTGGTATACTGTGCTATATCGCTAGACTTCAATTATTGCTTTGATATGAAACTTGCTCATTATTATGAATGGAATTGTACATAATGGTACAGTAACAACTATTTCTTTTCATGATAGCTATTTATAGAATAAAGAGAACAATCTAAAAAAACCCTGACAGGTGACAGTAAGAAACAATTATTATGTTCATAAAATTAAGGAATTAAATGTTTATTTTATGTAGTAATAGTTTTAAGAAACTGCTCAAGGATGATGTTCTATGAATAACCGGAGAACAAAAATGATTCCAATTGTAAAAACAATTTCTTATAGTCAGCGTTTTGGGAGCGTCCCGTTTACATTCTGTATACTTGAAGATGTCTATATATAAATGAAAGAATATATTAAAATAAAATTTATTGCCAGTTTTCTCAAAATATTATTAAAACTCTTAACCTTTAGTCCATAATTTACGTTACATGTATAAAAATAAAAATAAGTTTGGAGTTTAATCTTATCATAATGTGTTGAGCAAATATAATTTATCAATAAGTAAGTAAAAATGTACTAAGTATGTTTAAATACTATCAGAGTTTTATTACTTTGTTAGTTATTATATCATAGTATTAAACTGTCAAATACCAAGCGGTCACCGGTGACCGCGACCTATTGTTCTTTAATTGTGTCTATAAAACCGGTACTCGACGAGTTAAAGGAATATTAGGTATATTTGACCGGTTACTGACAAGGCTTGGGTTCTGCCTCCAGATTAAACAAAGGTTTACTGAACTTCATCATGTATTCAAAATTCTGAATTTATGTTGTATGTAATCCTGAATGACATTAATCTGTCAAACACCAAGCGGTCACCGGTGACCGCGACCTATTGTTCTTTAATTGTGTCTATAAAACCGGTACTCGACGAGTTAATGTCATATGGCATTAAAAGTTTAATCAAATAAATAAATAATGACTAATGAAATAAGTTAATGTATAATCAGATGTTATGGTCAAAGTGCGTGTAGAAAGCATTTATGAATTGGAACAATCAGCTACAATTGCAGTTCAAAATATGACTTCAATAATTTTATTTAGTTTAACACATTTCCTTATTCTATTTATCATCAACAGCCTAAAAATGCCCACTGCTGAGCAAAGCCTCTTCTCACATAGATAAGGTTTAAGCTTTAATCACCACACTTGCTCTCAATGCAGGTTGGAATGCAGGTTATAATTAGAAATTATAAGCCCAGGTTTCCTCACTATGTTTTTGTTCGTTTGTCAGTGGTGTCTAGATAATCTTAGAAAGTGCATATGACTCGGAAAATGTCACATTGGTACTTGCTGTTGGTAGGTTTCGAATTCTACTTATGGAAGGAGAAAAAATATAAAATAGGTATTTTACTGTAGGTTCATTTGTCTGTCATTTTTCTAACATGAAGCTTATTGTTCCAGCCACAATGAGCACCTACTTCCAGTACCCAACTCCCGAGCTGCAGGAGGAGCTTAGGAAGATCGCACAGGCGATTGTAGCTCCTGGCAAGGGTATCCTTGCTGCTGATGAGTCTACTGGTGAGTGTGATGCTAAAATTAGCTTTATTATTAAGAGTCTTAGGTTTAAAATTGCTTGTGGAACGGCAACTATTATTGTGATTGTGTCTAGTGAGTGAGTGATATTAGAAAATAACTTTTATTCCTGAGGAATGGTGTTTATAATTGATTGATAGTTAAAATGGTGTTATATCTTCAAAAATTAAAAATATTTTTTTTTATTATTTTGTTTTTGCGCACATAGTGTACAAAAGTGACATGCTAAAATAACTTTTATTTTCAAGTGACTTTAGATTGACAATGATTTGTCACTGAAACTTATCGTTTATTGTGTCTGCAAATCTTTAATGATTCTGTCTGCATTTAGTTTATAAGAAGGAAGTAATGAAGTATGATGATTTTATTAATATTATGACTTCATAATTTTTGGTTACATTCAGTCTTTGGTAACAGAACTTTATACAACAATAGACTTTAAGTTTATTTTAATAAGGGTCATTATTTCTTGGTTTAACGTTTGTCCTTTAATCAGGCACCATGGGCAAGCGTCTCCAGGACATCGGAGTTGAGAACACAGAGGAGAACCGCCGCAAGTACCGCCAGTTGCTCTTCAGTTCCGACGCCGTAAGTAAACGATTTAAATTGAACCTTATGACACGTTATAATAAGTGCGTTAAAAGCAATCGATAGAAAACTTGGTAACATGTATTAGTAACGCAATATATTCATTGTACTCAATTTGATATCTCCTTAAGTGTCATGCTATCCTGGTAACTTGTGTGGCAAACAATACAATTGACTCCAAAATTTTTAAAGTAAAATGGGTAGAAAAAAACAAAAGTATTGAATAAAAATAAAGAAAAAAACCACGAAGTATGATGGGCCTGTACCTATGTATAAAACAAAGACCCCCAAATGTGTTTGTCTATCTCTAAGCGTTAAACTCGAAAACAACTGAACAATTTTTTATTCAATTTTACTATCACATTTCCACTAAAAAAATAACAATAATCAATAATGACCAAGATGACATTTGACCAGTTCAGGAAACTTCTAAAATTAAATAAACTTTCAAGGCGATCGAGTTCAAAACCCGTATTGAAATGTTAATCGAATTCCGTTACGTAGTTTTTAAAAACAGAGGTGTGGTTGCCGTGCCCCCAGCGAAACTGGTTGCCATTGGATTTTGAATATTAATTCCACTGTCTGTTGCTTGGTTTTTGCATGACGTAGGTAGTGTAATTGTCTGGTTTATGTCACGATTCGTTTGCAAGTGTTATTTTGTTTTATAGTAAACAATTCGCATTTACTACTTACGTGTGTTATGAAGAAAAACTGTCTGATCAGTGAAGGTTACGTTGAAACTATTGAAAGTAAGAAGGCCGCATATTGAGAGTGGATTTCTATCGACATGCGTTAAACAAGTTTTTACAGTAGGTCCACACAATTGTTCAAGGGAATAATGATAATATACGGTCGTTAAATTGCGATTTTTATCTTTTTGGATATATTTTTTATGGCATAATCCCGTAAACGAGCAGTCGGCAGACGGATCGCACCTGAAACACATGGACACCTGAAACACCAAAGGCGTTACCGACCTTTTGGGAATTGGCAATTTGAGGATAGTGGGGGATTCGGGCAATGGGGGAGACTGGGGAGGGGGGGGGATTGGGCCTCTGGTAACCTCACTCCTCACTCACACGACGAAACACAACGTAAGCGTTGTTTCACGTCGGTTTTCTGTAAGCCTGTGGTATTTCTTCCGTCGATCCGACCTATTCGTACCGAGGCATGGCTCTCCCACACTAAAAACATATCCAAAACTCATTAGATACTCTATCTACTTTGCACCTTACATACAAGCTAAAACTCGTTAGCTATTTTCTCTAAAGTATTTACAGCTGCAAACTGAAACTGGCCTACTTTCTAAACTATTAGTCGTATGAAATTCTCTGTAGTCAGTCGCTGCTTATAGCATGGTCGCGCTCGATTTGATACTATAACAATGTATTTAATTGGGCAATATAAGTTTGCATATTTTTTATATGTTTACGTTGTTAAATAATGGTTTAAAAGATCACAATTAACGATAAAACCAATCCACATGTGTATTTATAAAGGTGTGCTTATCTACATTTAAATAGCACACCTCTTTATTACTTTAAAATGACGTATTATTGTAGATTTTTAATTAACGGAAAAGTGCTGTTAATAGGTTATGTTATGTAGATGGCTCTGCCTACTCCTGTATGACAAAAGAAGTCATGATAATTATGTTGAACATTGTACAGTATCAATATTTGTTTGACAAGACATCTCGACCAGTTTCGAGCCACAGTGGGGCTCATATTCGTTGCGCGACGCGTCAATCAAATTGTTGAATGCCTGACACTTACCCGGTAAAATATAATTCGTTAAATAATAATTATATGCCACGGGAGTAATCCAAAAAAAAAATGCATTTGAAGTTTTCAAAGCTTGACATAGGTATGATCAAATCAGCTACCTACTGCTGATTCCTGTTACCCTAGTACTTGGAAAACACAAAATACCATTTCTGACTTACGTGGAGCTTGCTTGCCACGCTAATGACTCATGATGACCGTTGAAATCCTTTTTCCTTCCTAAAAACTTAGTAAATACATGAACACAATCACGCCCCTAGTTATATGACAAAAGAACTAGAGAAAGTCGTTTGAAAGTGACCTTTTTATACATGACCTTGAGAATTACGTAAGTAGGAAAATAGGGTTTATTTCTAGACAATACAATGTGTTATATCTAGATATACTCTGTTGATTACAAGCCAAGTGATTAATGTACAATGAAAGCAGGGTTGCCCAATTTGTGATCAAGAGGATCTTGCAGGCGACCATGACCAATCTGTCCGAACAGAAATGTGCACAAAAGATCAGATTTTCTTTTCCTACCCTTTTCATTTGTTATGTTGTAGTTTTACCTATTAACTAGGTAAATTAATAAACCACAGTTTTATTGCCATAATATCAAACTCCTCGTATTTGCAAAAAAGAAACTCTAGGATACATACTCTTAGGTATGCTTATACGGTATACCCTTAAACATATGTGAACTAGATAAGCAAAACCGCAAAGCCGGCCAATATACAACCGAAAATGTTACTCAAAGTGTCACCTTTTATAACTAGCACATTTGGCAATGTATCATAAATATTTCCTAACCCAAGTCCGAGACAATCACATGCTTCAATAATAATATATTATACGATTATAGTACTGGTATTTTGGCGTCATGGCGCCTGACCGTCTTCCTGTTTACCACGCCAAATATGGCTCGAAAAATAAACAACTTTCTAACACGAAATACCACTGTTGCATAATCAGACCTATTCTATCGATAACCTGTTTTTTCATTTCCCTTAATAAAGTAGGCCTGTTTTGCTGCTGGACATTTTGGAATGGAAAAACACACGACACGGTTTTGTTAGAAGGGTGCCGAAGTTCTTGATGACATCTGTTAAAGCTTTCGTAGTTTTTATCAGTTCTGTAATTCAATATTTCTTTTTATTCTGAAGACCCCTTGAACATTGAATTATTATCGTCACATATTCAGAAGGCAAAAGGATCTTGAAGCTTAAGTTAAAATGAAGTAATTATGGGCACTATTCGTCCATACAACGGTATGGTACACATTCCAGGCTCGTAGGCACACAATTCCACGTTTTACCGGGTTATCATAAAAACGTGGTTATTAATAATGAGTAGTATTAATACTAAGCCATTGACTGATTAGAATTCTAGTCTGGAGTGCTTAGTATGTTATTAACATCTGATAACATATAGTAGTTATAATTAAGAGTAAAAAGGTACACATTGTTTACCATACAATGTCATCTATTCATTTCTTGAACTTGAATTTAACAAAATGAAATTTTCTCATCTTTTTGATGATAACTTTAAAATAATAAATAGAGGTAGATCACGGTACGGAAATCAGTAGGTACACATGATTTTGACGACTTTCCATAATTAAATACTTAAAATCTCTTCCAGGCCCTCTCGGAAAACATCTCCGGAGTGATCCTGTTCCACGAGACCCTTTACCAGAAGGCTGATGATGGCACTCCCCTGGTCACCCTCTTGGAGAAGCGTGGCATCATCCCCGGCATCAAGGTCGACAAAGGTGTCGTCCCACTCTTCGGATCTGAAGACGAGTGCACTACTCAGGGTAAGTGAGGGTTTTTGCCACCTTAGATAGAAAATTGGTGATCAAAAGTAAATTTCTGGTGGTCATGTCAAAAATGTAGTTAGGAATTTGACGCCTTGGAGTAATTTATGGTGAATTAGAAAAGTTTTAAGGCCTTAGAGTGTTTATGAGTTAAATTAAACCTTGAAGGTCGTCATTTGTTAAGACCTACTTGGAGAAAAGATGTTAGGGAAGCTAATCCAAAGGTTTTGCCAGTTTTGGCAATATGACTATGAAATTCTGCATGATATTATAATTTTTGTGTATATGAGGCCACTAACAAGTAACAAGACTTTACCTTATACTTTCCTGATGTTAGATTTTCCTTGTTTTTTTATTAAAACTATAGTTCTTTGTTCTGTAATCTAGGAACTAGATGAATACTATTATTGAAATCGAAACTGGTCGTGGCTCTTGTTTCCGCAAAGTATACATGACCGGTTCGCAAAAATTGTCACCTCGAATAAAAAACAAAACGGCAATCAGAAATTTACTATCGTTATAAATTCTAGCAGTTCGAATAATACTTTTCAAGTGGTGTCTTCTATTTCTAGCTATTTAAATACTAAAGTGTGACTTTTACACGTTTTACAGTATTACTGGGTTTTTTTTTTAAAAAAATCTCAGTAGTAGCACGGAGTCTGGAATTGTGCCCGGTATATGGCAATAGACTCACCTCCTATTACATGAGACTCTTAACATAAATTGAAAGTGGGTGTTACATTGTACAGTGGCATAATGTGCACCTCTCCCTACCCCTTCGGGCCTTCGGGGGTAAAAGGCGTGATGTTATGTGACTTTTACGCCCAAAACTGCTGGTCCGATTTGGATGAATGTTGGTACACAGATAGAAGCGATTTTGAAGACAGTTGTGAGTTTAGATACATCACTATTACGTGGAAATAAATATTTTTTTTGAGGAGTTAGATACGATTCGAACTCCTGAGCAAAGGGTCTCGGGTCTGTTTCTTGGATTATGCCGATTCTATATTCTAAACTATTACTATGAACTTTCCAAGTGAGAAAAATATACCTTGACAAATAATGATGCGGAATTAATTATATTGCAATTACCTACCAGTAATTATTTTATTCTTAGGTAACATTTTATTGCTTAGACTAAGTCTACAAAGATTATTGTTATCACCATAAGTACCAACAGATGATTATAACACTATTATCATTAGAATAGGGATTTAAACGGATGGAGACACTTATAAAACTCTTTGATAGTTTTCCGTTGTTTAGTTTTCTTGAATAAATAAAAGGCAGACAGATATAGTCTTTGAACAAATAAATACTTCTTACAATCTTATGTTATCCTGGTAGTTACATAGACCAGTAGTACAGTGAAAATTATATTTACTGAAGTTAACAAAAAATATAGCCAAATTGATTGATTCTTGACTTGATAATTAATTTTCTTTATCTACCCTGAACAGTGTGTATGACCCTGCATGTTTTAAGTGTTAACTTATCACTTAAAAATAAATGCTGTTTCCAACTTCATCATGTAATGAAAACCAATTAAGAAAAAAAATACGTTAAGCAATTAATATTATACTTTCATTAACTTTAATACCGTTTAGGTTGGGGATATTTTTATCTTATCAAAGTGCTGCACGATGAAATGTCCATCCAAAATGACTGAATAAACAAATTTTATCCAATATGTTGACCTTTTGGACCGGCTATCTATAGATAGAAACGTGTCATACGAGTTGTAACAAAACTATTGCAAGTATTGAATTTGAGACGTAGGTACTGTAAAGAATAAATAAAATAATACTGCTAGCTAGCTTCCTAAATTAAAAATCTTCCAATAGCGATCGGTATAGTATTAATTAAAAAAAATATAACTCGTGGGATCATGAGACCAAAAAGATGAGTGGTCAAACGTCGGCCCATGAAAAAAAAGACTATAAACATTAATTTAATTCTGGAATTTAATCCACTATACGTAACGCAACAGTTTATTGCCCTGCCTAGCCAGTTTATGTAAACGCGTTAGCTTATCAAGCAACGAAACTTAAGAACGGACGTTTTTAAGAAAACTGTGATATTTAGGTACTATTTATATTTGATGGGCCGTTATTTGACCACTATTTCTCGCCTAGTGGTAAGCGATGATGCGGTCTACGATGGAGCATGTCGTCCCATAAGCAACCTATTGACTCGGGCCCTTAAAGTGCTGCCGTCTGGCTGTACATAATGTAATATTGTATTGTACTTAAAATACTGACTTGTAATTTTTAACATGACATGTACAAAATAAGGGGCCGGATCTGATTATTCCTCAATTAGCTAAACAGCTAAAACTACGATTGTGATCAGTGATCACACTACGCAATGGCGCCCGGGGGCTCGCCTGCTTATCGCCCTTATCACCGTCAAAAGTCCGTAAACAAGTGATTGCGTCATACAAGCAGTTAATTTATGTTGATGTTCGAATAATCACCACTTGGGTCGCTATGTGACCCTGGTAACTGACATCGAATCACCGCCCACTAAATTAATTTATCCGGACAAATTCAGACCAGTTTTTATTGGTTTTTACAGAATAGTTTTAAAATTGAAATGAAAAATGACTTATTTTCTTGTCATCATTTCTTATGTTAGAAGATTATTAAAGTAATTTAGTCAATAAGGAGTCTCATGCGTCTTCAATGCCGAACCAATTTGTAGAATTTTATATAACAGTGTGTAGTTACAAATTATAAATCCAACTCAAAAATCCACTTTGTAAGTTTCGTTTTTATCTGCTGTGTACAAAAATGACACGATTTTCAAATTAAATAATTTAATGTTATTTCGTAAAAGTGTCACAAGATTAAAATCATTGTTATTAGGAAAAAACATGATGCATCATACGATATTTTTGTGGTGTCATGCAGAATTTTTAATCTTTGAATTGTTAACAGATTTATTAGATAGGAAACGAAACTGGCAATTTTTGATGACTAAGTAAGATTGTGAAAAGCCCCTCCTCCCATGATATAATAGTAAGTAAACAATATATTGCTTTATTCTTCAGGTTTGGATGACCTTGCCCAGCGCTGCGCCCAGTACAAGAAGGACGGCTGCCACTTCGCCAAATGGCGTTGCGTGCTCAAGATCGGCCGCTTCACCCCATCCTACCAGGCCATCATGGAGAACGCGAACGTTTTGGCTCGTTACGCCTCCATCTGCCAGAGCCAGCGCATTGTGCCCATCGTCGAGCCCGAGGTTCTGCCTGATGGTAAGGGAACTCTTTCAAATTATGCACACCTGGTACTTGCAATAAGTTAATGATATTCATCAGCATCATGAACAGCAACAACATGAGAATAGAGAGAGAGAGAGAGGGATTTGGTTTGCCATAATCTCCACGCTTGGCGACCGGGTTGGACACTGTAATTTACAAAAGAATGCCCGGTCATTGTTAAAATATGTAGTCCTATAATAATCGCTTCTTACAGCATCCGCGGGAAAAGTAGAAGTGGTGACATTATGTATTCTAACGACGTCAATCCTGCCTTACTGAACTTCATTTTATCTATTTTCTAGGTGAACACGACCTTGACCGTGCCCAGAAGGTGACCGAGGTTGTTCTGGCTGCCGTCTACAAGGCGCTGAGCGACCACCACGTCTACCTTGAGGGTACCCTTCTCAAGCCCAACATGGTTAGTGACATTTACACCTCTTATGCTGTACTGAACTCCTAGTACTTGTACATTAATTTACAGAAAGTAGTGGAAAAATGTCTAATATTTTGTTTATTGCTTCACAGGTGACTCCTGGCCAGGGTTGCAAGAAGACTTACACTCCCATGGACATCGGCCGCGCCACCGTTACCGCTCTGCTCAGAACTGTACCTGCTGCCGTTCCCGGTAAGTTTGTTTTTTTTTTGTCATACAGTATGTACACAAAAAATTATTAATTGTGAACAATTAATGAAATGAATACATCTAAAGATGTTCATAATTTACTCAAAACATGCTCAACTCTTTAGTAAATGCTAGAATAGATATTTTATTTTTCCGACTGAATCAATAATGGACCTGGTTGTGAAAAATGTATTTTATTTATGTCAAAAATCAATGAACAACACATCATTCTCCAGGCGTCACATTCCTGTCTGGTGGTCAGTCTGAGGAGGAGGCGTCAGTGAACCTGAACGCCATCAACACTGTGGACATGAAGAGGCCGTGGGCCCTTACCTTCAGCTACGGTCGTGCCCTCCAGGCCTCCGTCCTCCGCGCATGGGCCGGCAAGCCTGAGAACGTGTTGGCTGGACAGCAGGAGCTCATCAAGCGTGCTAAGGTGACTTGATTGTACTAGGAGATTATGAGATGAAGAATGCTTAATATTGCTAATTTTTGGTCAAAAAGCCTAATAAGCAACCTGGAAAGGTAAGCCTTCGTAATGAGAATGTTAACTGGGTGATACCAGGGATGAATGAGTTGATAGGATGTGTATGTGTGTAAGTTAACGTACTAGGCGTTTAGAAAATGGAGGATGTGAAAAGAAAAAGATACTCTATGGTTTGAGATTCCTTACGACCCTATTTATAGTAAAAGTAGTCATGTAGATAGTAGTAGAGTAGAATAGCATTTCTTTAAATAGACGCAGACGTCGGAAGCAGCTTCAAAGTTTGGTAAGTTAACAAGAAAAGAAAAGAAATAATTAACCTAAGTTCTCGACTCTTCTGAAGTCTTAGTAGGCTTTTCATATAGATGATATAAAATGCACGAAAAATTCGCTGTGTTGTCTGATTATTTACTTCATTATGTTTATGCATGTACATCTGTGTTGTTTCTAAATGTGTTACTAATTTTGCTTAAAATTTAGTTTGATTCATATACAGTAAGTACAATTTAAGAAATGTCAAATTTTGTACTTTCTGTGTATAATCTCTTATCAAAAGTAGTGTACTAATCAAACATTTTTTTCTCTCCAACCCTCACAATTCGACATTGCACCAACGACGCTGCACTCCTGCGCATCTCTAACCACCAATCACGTGTCGGCTCGATGATTCTAAATTCAAAACTCTAAAATTGGATGTTTTCTTTGCCAATTGTGACGTCATAGGCCAATGGTTTGGCTTGCGTTGGAAAGTATGAAGCGGGTTCGATTCCCTCATTGGCCTCGAACAAATCTAACTTTGTTAAGTCGCATGCCTATTAAAATAATTTAAGTAAACCATACATAATATACTGCTAATTTTCAAAAGTAATATCATGTTGTTTTTATTATATTTTTAAGCAAATGTCATATTTTTATGAAGTTTTATTAGTCACAGTATGTATGGTTGGCTTTATAAGAATGTTGCCTAATTCAAAATCTATTTTTAATTTGTTATTTAAACCTTTAACAAAATTTGCTTAAAATCAAGAAAAAAATAATTGGCTGTTGTTATCTTTTATTTTGGACTTTTTACATTCCATGTTTTTAAAGAATTTTATTTCAAAATTTTTAATCGAATTGATATCCATTATAGCATTTATTTTTGTCTATTTTTTAGAGTTCTACTTTTAAGTCTATATCACAAAAATCTATAACATCACATTATTATAATTTGGTACTTAACAGAACCGAACCATATACGAACAATAATTTCTTCGTCGTATTATTTCTAAAAAAAAAATACAAAATACTTATTTTAAAACACAAATAAACAATGAATTCACAAAATATACATTTTTTTTACAAATAATATGACTAAAGCCATTTTACAAAAATTAAATTACAACAACGCTTTTAAAAAACGAAAAGAAAACATTTTAAATTCTTTCCCTCGCTCTTACATTCTCCGTGGAAGCGAGAAAGAAGTATCTAATGTCAAATTTAACGGTTTTTTTTTTTCTTTTTTTAAACGTGTAGTTTTTTGCATGTATCTATTAAAAAGTATGCTTGAAATAGTGTGTAGTACAGACACTATGCAGCTTATTGTGTGCTTGTAATTGTTGAAATAAATAATTAATTTCGTTTTATAGTGTTTGTGTTTATTTCTCCTTTTTTTAGACGCTAATTGGTAAGCATCGTTTGTAGTTTTCATTTGAACCCTATAGACCTCTTGTTGGTATTTCTGTTTAATTGCTAAAGTATATCCATAGTAGTTGTTACATATTTAAAAACCCGTCTAATATTGAATATTTCTATTTTACATAGGTAATATTCGTTTTTATAAGGGCTTAAGGGTCGATTTTTCAATCATCAGTCAATAATTAACTAAAATAAAATTGAAATTTGACAGTTTTTAGTATGGAACAATGTCAAATATTAAAAGTATTTCCTCAGTTAAAAATTATCTGGTGTTAGAACAATCAGCCCTAAAAAGATTTTCTTGCATTTATGCACCTCAAAACAAACTACAATTTGTAGATGGCGCATCGCAGCAGCGGGAGTTTAATTAGTTTTTTTTATCTTATACTATACTAGTCAAAACAAAATAAGGGCCACCACGTTTTTATAGTTTCATCATGAAATCTTGAGGTTTAAGTGTTGATTAATGATTAGATTTGATAAATTCACTGTTTTTTATTATTAACAACACAAAATGATGAAAGACACACCATTTTTTTCTGAAAAACTAACATTTTTGCAAGCAAAACGTATGAAATCAGAATCAAGTAAAAAATAAACAAATCAGATATTGGTTGAATTGTAACTCCTCAATATTTAGTATGCCCTCCTCGTTTTCTAATGCACTCTTGAAGCCTGGATGGTACACTCTCCACCAAGTGTACCACTGTTTCTTGAGGAATTTGTTCCCAGCTTGATTTTAAAATGTTTATTAGCTGTCTTTCATTGTGCACGGGTTGGTTTGTGCTTCGAACGTTGCGTTTGAGTAAATCCCACATGTGTTCAATGGGATTGAGATCCGGACTGTTTGCAGGCCAGGGCAGCACCTGTATACCAGCCTCCTCTATAGCTTCTCTGGTGGCCCTAGCTGTATGAGCGCGAGCATTATCGTGCATCAGACGGAATCTTGCGCCGATTCTTTGTGCATATGGGACCACATGAGGTCTTATGACCTCCTCGATGTAACATTGAGCTGTAATTGTGCCTTCATTGAGAATTATCAACTCAGTTCTACCTGATGTAGAGATTCCTCCCCACACCATAACGTTAGGGCCCCCAAATCTGTCCTTTCATGGATACAAGCATCCGAAAATCGCTCACCTTCACGCCTCCAGACCCTAATACGACGGTCATCACAAAAAAATTTTACTTTGCACTCATCCGTAAACAATACTGTGCTCCATTCACTCATATCCGATGCCAGATGCTGCCTTGCGAACGATAATCGGTTTGCACGATGAGCACTTGTCAATGGTATCCGCACTACACGTCTCCTAGAGAACTGCTGGTCCTCGTGTAACCGATTTCTAATGGTTTGATCACTAACACGTGTACCCGTAGCCTGCCGCAAACGGTTTTGTAAGGAACGGGCTGTGATGCAGCGTTCTCTGCGCGCAGTCAAACGTATGTAGCGGTCTTCCTGTGCGGTAGTTGCTCGATTTCTGCCAGATCCCCGTCTCCTGGTTAGTCTCCCAGTCTCTTGAAATCGATACCAAGCATTCTGAATTGCTCGCCGGGAAAAACCCAGCTGCATCGCAACAGAACGCTGCGAATGGCCTTCTTGAAGTAATGTTACGGCCCTAGTTACGGTTGGTAAGTCTATATGACGTCGGATTCTCGGCATATCTTTGTTAAAGAAATAATTCAGCCAGAAGTAAAACAAAACTAAACTGTTCTTGACAGAATCGTCAGTTTGACTGAGTTAAAATCCATCTTAAAATCGGGTAAAATCAAGTGGGTACAATAAATTATCAAAAACTGCTCACTTCACAGAGTTATGCCTGTAGAACACTTAAATAAATGTTTGTAAACAAATAAGGTAACGCTATAATAACCATTCAGCTACTTGAGTACGCAGAAAAAATAAATTATCGCTACCGCTGTTAAAAATAACAAGTGGCCCTTATTTTGTTTTGACTAGTATATTATATGAAGCTGAAGAGTTTGTTTTTTGTTTGTTTGTTTGAACGCGCTAATCTCGGTAACTATTAGTCTGATTTGAATAATTCTTTTTGTGTTGGATAGCGCATTTATCGAGGATGGCTATAGGCTATAAAACATCACGCTACGACCAATAGGAGCTTAGCAGAGCGTATGAAACCGCGCGGAAGTAGCTAGTATCTAATAAACATCATTGTCTTCTAATCAGAAAATAATCGTAAAACATAGCTGTATTATTTGATCTGGTTTATATTATTCACTGGTATTGTGGACAAAGTTTCACAATATCAGTGTTTCAGCAGACTCCTCAGATCAGTTGGTTTCAAATATAATATTCTAAAATCAACCACGCATTTTATAAGTCCAGATTATTGTTGTATCCTTACTGTATAGTATATCGTGTCTGGTTTAGTACCTAGACTGTCTCACATAACTAACAAGTAGAAACTGTAAAGAAAAGTCAAATTGTAGTTTTACTACTGTTTATTATTTTCTATTATTTCCTAATAATTATTATTAAGTTGATACTCCTTAATTAGTTCATACTATTTAACATCCGTTTAACTAATGGTACTTAATTAATCTAAAAACGTAGAAGTTTAATGTTTTTTCACTTTCATTTCTTGTAAAACAATAAATTTCATTAGTTTGGTTATAATAAACAAAACTATCATGTTGCTGTAATGAAACATAACATACCATCATGCCTTTTATCCCCGAAAAGGTAGGCAGACATGGACATTACGGCACTTACTACCACTGTACAATGTAACACCCACTTTTCATCACTATTTATGTTATGAATCCCGTGTAATAGGGGGTGAGCCTATTGCCATATACCGGGCACAATTCCAGACTTCGTGCTACTACTGAGATTAAAAAAAACAATAATTTTTTGGTCGACTCGGGAATGTGAAATGAAATTCTCTTGATAAACGTATTTACTAGCATTAGGTAACCATTATCAAAAACTGTAATATTTACATACCAAATTATCAGTAACTCGATGAACTCGACCTTGAACCTGTTGATCTTAAAAATCTAAATTAACACCCAAATGTTGCCCAAATAATAATTTTAATGCTTGATTTCGTGGCAACATTATACGATAGTTATTTGGAGCTTATTTTTCTAATTTGTCACATTCTAATGTCAGATTGCTGAGATGCTATTTATCGAAGTGAAAGTATTGAACGGTTAGTGAGCAGAATAAATTGTAGTGTGGTGTGGGTAAATAACATCAGAACTATACGTCTTGTGAATCTATTTTCTTCTTGGTTTTGTAATAAATTTAACATGTGAATGAATGAATGAATGAATGAGAAACGAAAATGTGTGTGAGAAAAATTTAGTATACCTAATATTTATAAGAAAATTATGTAGTATATCTATAGACCAGAACCAGGTATTAGTATATAGACCATGTTTATTAAAAAAAAAATAATTAGAAGAAATATGAAAGTTAAAGTTTATTGCTTTGTACCAGTTATTAAATCATTATCATTACTGATGCACAGTAAATTAAGATATTTACAACTTCTCCACAAGCTATGTTCCATTTTTGTGCACAGGTATAAAATGTTGCCATAAATAAAAACTAAAAATATATTTTCTCTTCTTTCCAGGCTAACGGCCAGGCGTCGCAAGGCAAATACGTGGCTGGATCTGTAACAGGTGTGGGCGCCGAAGCCGGTCTTTTCGTAGCCAACCACGCGTACTAAACGCATAAACACATTCACTACACTACATCTAGAAACAGTAGTTACACAACAATCGTCGCTACGAGAATATCAGCGGAGCGACCAAAAAAATATAACGCTATCTTTTTTTATCGGTTGTCGTGGCGAGAATGTCGCGCGGTTAATTCCATGTTTGACAACCGATGTCGCTTCTAGTAAACTATCGGTCAAAGCACCGAGATTAAAGTTCCATTTATGAAATTTAAAAATTGGCGCGAAAGATTTGTTTTAGTTAAGCAAAAATTAGATTTTAAGAAAAATCTTCTCTAATTCGCTTCTTGTATGTTGGTCCATACGTATATTGATGGAATTAGAACTAGAATGTCGTTATTTATTGAAATTATCTAGAAAATGTATTTAATAGTCGCATTAACAGTAGCGGTTGACAAATAAATGTTGTTATTGTGCTATTAAAAGAAATTAGAGTTTTGATATTAATTTATTTACAAAAAACAACTGTGGTAAATATATATTAATGTTATATTTTAAAAATCAGAACATCATGTAAGTTAATTTTGTATCTGTTATATTTAAATATCATTTTTAGTTTGTAAACTATTTTGATATTTTTAAGAGTATAAAATTATATTAATCTTTGATCAGGTGTAGATTTGTTTTATTTACATTCATTATGTACCTGAGTCCCTTATGTAAGTATATAGTAGGTACTTAATATCCATTATATCATTAATTCACATTACAGTCTCTTCACAGATAAATTAAACTAGCTTCTGCCCGCGACTTCGTACGCGCAATCCCATTTCCCCCCCCCGTTCCCGTTCGTGATTTTCGGTAAAAGAAAAAAAAATTTGATAAAAAGTATCCTATGTCCGTCTCCTGGTTCTAAGCTACCACCCCGCCAATTTTCATCCAAATCGATTTAGCCGTTCTTGAGTTATAAATAGTGTAACTAACACGACTTTCTTTTATATATATAGATAATGGTATTGACAACTGCTTCTAAGTTAAATTCAATACTTTTTACATTACATTTAAAGATAATCCTAAACTTTTCTCATGAAAGTACCTTCAGAAGAATGTAAACAATAGTTTTATTCATAGTAATTACCTAGCTATCAATTTGGTTTAAATCCAGATTCAAAATCCACTTGAAATAAATAAACTTACGTTTTTCAATATAATTTGAATATACATAAATACAATACACATGTATACCTAGATAGCTAGTACCTAAACAGTCTCGCAAGTAACATGACTGTTATGGTATGATCGGCTCTTCTAAAAGTGTTATACTGTTTCACTGAAGATGCTAACGGCCTGCCAAGCTGTTGAAGCCGCTTTGCTAAATTATTGTCGATGTCGTAAATGAAAGACTGTCTATAGTTTCTACAAGGCTTTTAATTTAATCGTTACAAACATGTAAGTACGTATCATCAAAGCATTCGTGTCCACTGCCTAGTGAGAATTTGAGTAAACACAGGTAGGTAACGCGGTCTTCAGCCTCTTTACTGTGCTTCGGAGCATGGCAAGATAGTTCCTGCCAGCTTGCTTTTTTGAGGGGAGAAAATCATCCAACGACATCTCCCGCCTTGAATGACGGAATGTCAGAGTCCTACTCCCGCTCTTCGAGCCAGTACCCCGGCAACCCGATCCCAGTACCGCCGCCGGAGCTTGCTGGCGCCCCAGCCACCGCGTCACCAGCTCCTGTGAAATTAATGTCTTCTGCGTATTTATATCGGGCATCTACTAGGCCCCAACTTACCACATGCTTGCAACTTTTGCAAGCGGTCCGACGTTTTTGTTGCTTCACTTTCAGGAGTATACGATTTACTCTATTTTTGTTGAAGTTTTTTAAAGAAAATTCTACTTACTCCCCTATTAGACATATGTTTTTACTACCTACGTACAGGGCCATCTTAGACTACTTACGTCACACAATAATTCGGGTCACTTTTAAAATGCTTCTTTTTTTAACGTTGCCCCACATTAGGCTTTTCTCGTGTATCGTGAGTACAAACATACAAGTTCACAGACACTTGACACCTAGTGTTATATTATAAATAAATAAATACAAACATAGATCCGTGCGGAAATCAAACCCGCTACACGTTGTGCGGCAACTAGCGTGTGTGTGTCAATCTCCTTAAGGGCCCCAGAGGATAGGGTTCCTAGGCACGGGCCCCGAGTTATGGTAAAGACGGTGCTGCCTACGTACACTATGTAAACTTGCGACAGTTCATTCACCTTTACGCAGATGACATGTTTAAGAAGCACGTCATACCAAATTGTTAGGTCACTTAGGTTACCTACCTATAAGCTACACATAAACACGTCTCGGCGCTAGACGGAAAGTTTTTCCGATGCCTGAACATATTAATAAGTATGCAGAACAAAGATTATCCCACTAGAAATGCCAGAGGAGCTGTAATCGAACAAGTAATTTTGGATTACTTTTTCTGGACGATGTTCTAGGACTGCGTTTTTTCGTGATTTAGTGACTTGAACCCCAATAATAACGGTCGGAAACGCACAAACATGCAACACCTCAGGTGTTGCGGGTGGCCGTTGGTAGCAGTGCGGTGCTGATCAACATTCAAGCTTTTTGAGTACGGTTCGTTAAGTTATACTTCTTCCTATAAAACTTTGCTAAAACAAAGGTTTACAGGAAGACATCTGGGCTGTCGTATCTAGCAAAGCTAATCTATGGTGCAGACGTCCAGACGAACTACTGCTTGATGAACCGTTTAATTGAACTACACTTGAGCTCTCACTCGGTAGACGAGTAAGGATTACCTATACCTACAGTTACATTCACCACACCAAGTAGATTAAGGAATCTGATCTGTTTTTACCGACTTCATAATTTGGTATCCTCTTTGTATTTCTATAAAATTATTTGTAATTTTGAACACTTTCACCAGTAGGTAGGTACCAAAAGTTAGTAAAAATTAGGTAACTACTTTACGAAATGATAATATCCTGGTTAACTAGGGAGATCCTAATAAAGTAGGTACTTAGTTGTTCTATTCTAGAATTTACAGGCCAACATGTCAGGCTGCCCAAAGCTATCCATAATTACAATTATTTTTTAAATCATCTCTCAACAACTTTAACTAGGTAGGTACACTTTATGTATCAATATAGGTTACTTTGCTTACCTATTTATTTTTTATACTAAGTAGGCTAATTGTATTTTTCATCTAGATTGATAAAATGATTGATTGGTTACGTGACGAAAATGTTTCCTAAATAGATGAAATCGGGAATGAACTCCACCATTACCCCAGAAAATAGGTTATAGTTACGATTTCCGTGTGATCCTTACATGTGCAAATAATATAGATGACAGTCGCTTCGTAAATAATTGATAGGTTTCTATTTTTGTTCAGAATTAGGACATATGAAAAGATCTAGTCATTAATTATTCTTAAAAGGTTCCCTATCTTGTGATAAAGTTCGAAATTTCAATACCTAAGTAGGTTCGTGATCATAATACCGATTTAGTCTAATGATTTGTTTGTATATTAAACTAGCGGACAACGCGAACTTTGTTTAAAAAAATTCTACGCATCTTTGTTACATTTTTCTAAAGGCGCTCCCTCACCGGGAGCATTCTGTAATGTAACATTTAATGTAATTTAACATGTAATGTAGATTCGACTTTGAGCATTACATTACAATAATACCTCCCTGACTAACGAGCATTTGTGTGCAATGTAACAACGAGCATATGCGTGTAATGTAACATATTGATTCGACTTTGAGCAGTTTAAGCATTTCATAGCTAGGTTTCAGACGAAGCGGACGGGCGGGGAGCTGGGGGAAGTGTGGAGAGCATCGATGTTACAAATTGTATCAAAGTATTACACATTGTATCATTACAAGGTGCATATTATTGTAATGCTCGGTTCTCTTCCTTCACTGATGTAATGCTCAGATCTGTAACGTTTCATTACACGCAAATGCTTCCGGTGAGGGAGCACCTTTACATAAGAACCTTCTCCTAACACCGGACCAAAAAATAATTAGCGAAATCGGTGCAACTATTCTCGAGATTTGCGCTGAGCAACACATTTAGCGATTAATTTTTGATATTGGCCCAGCTTCTGCCCGCGCCTTCATACGCGCAATCCCGTTTTTTCCCTTGTCCGTTCATAATTTTCGCTAAAAAGTAAAATGATAAAGTTTCCTATGTCCGTCTCCTGATTATAAGCTACCTCCTCACCAATTTTCATTCAAATCGATTTAGCCGTTCTTGAGTTATAAATAGGGTAGAATAGAGCAACATTGGGCACCTACCTACCCATAATACTAGCTGTCCATCTCAGTTTCCCTCGAATTCGAGTTTCGAGTGTTATACCCCAACTACACCAGCTATTTTTTAAATTTTTGAGTTGTTTATAATATGTATTTCTGCGATGAATTTTTCATCTATAGTTAGACATTTATAGACAGATTTCTTGGCGATAACTTGCAAACTTTTGCTTGCAGGGGGCTTAGGATCCGGCTTTTAGACCCAGCTGTAGATGTCAGCCCTCGTTAAACAGCAAGGCTATGTAATTGACAGAAAAAACATGTTATTTTCTAAGGAATAAATGATTTTCTCTGGAATTTTTAAAGTCTGATTTTCTTATCATCAGTCCTTTAAAATTTTTCGACCAATCTAGAAAATATTGAGTTCCCCTTATAGGTGCTTAACGTTAGGGCTATTCCAAATGTCATTTACACCTAGTGCTCAAAATCGGGATGTCTAAGCGTAGAAATTATCTTAAAAGCTATAAAACGTTAGGATGGACTGGCTATCTTCTTTCTAGAAGTAATTTTCTTGAGATTTTATTTTTTCGGAGATCAGATTAATCTTTAGTATCTACCTGTGTAGGTACCTAGATGTATGTGAAGCGACTTGATTCAGATCATCACACTATACCAGACTAGCTAGGCCATTCTGTAACTGTCAATTCGAACTTTGAAAGTGAACTCAATGGCATTCTCGCTCGTTATTGGTCGAGATTATTTAAGTATTTATGTATTTGGACATCCAGTTGTTGTTACATATTTTACATAATTCCTGTAAAATCCCTAATGTAAACATTGACTTAAAATTAGGAATTAATAATCGTATTACTAATGCACAGCATTTGAAGGACACAGTATGCGTTGAGTTGAGAACACTATATCAATTAAATTAAATTTACCTTCTTATATTGTCTACATGGACCAAAGTAATAAATAAGAATTATACACAGCCAATGACATTGCGGTTTATTCT